CTCTTTATGTCCTAACAAATAAATTTTTGTGACGACTCTGGCCCCCGCTGAACCTACCCCAGCTTCAAAGTGAAAACACGTCGTCACAATGGCGCCCGAGCAGGGACTTGAAAGAGAGAAAGAATAAATAAATGAGTGAACAATAATTAGACAAATACAGATAAAAACCCAGTGAAAAAAAAAAACAGTTAAAAAAAAAAAAAAAAAAAAAAAAAAAAAAAAAAAAAAAATGTCAAACGAAAAGACAATGTTGAAGGTCTCCTGGGCCTATATGCTAAAGCAAGAAGACTTGGTAACATATCTTACTGAATTCAATCTTGATCCAGTTGGAAAAGTGGACGATCTCCGAAAAAGATGGGCTAAATTTCTCCACAACGACCATGAAGCCGATGTATACAGACGGCTTATAGAGTTGCAGAACAAACATGAAAGTACCAGTCCGACCAAATCGCCGACATTGCGAGCCGTCACAAAACAACCCCTTATAACCGTAACACCGTGTGGAGCAGAAGCAATAGTATTATCCCCAATAAAAACAGAGTACGCCCTTCCCCACATTTCCGCGGAAAGGTCACATGGAGAGTCAAGCACAGGGGTAACAAACGATCAAAAAGTACAGAAGATGTCGCCAACAAACCCCGAATATGGATTTCAAAAAGATTCTCCGCCCAAGCCATCCAATAATTCGTCGTTACTCGTAATTCTCGACCAAATCCGAAAATGGAATATTACTTTTGAAAATGGAATGGACCCTATTGGATTCGTAGAACGTGTAGAAGAAATGGCTGAAATGTACATCGTGGAATTGAATCAAATAATTAAAGTAATGCCAGAGTTGTTACGAGGTAAAGCTTTAATCTGGCTAAGGAACAACAACCGACACTGGACTACCTGGAACGAATTTAAGAGTGATTTTCTGAAATTCTTTTTGCCACCGAGATACTTTGAGAAATTGGAGGATGAAATTAGGAGAAGGATACAGCGTAATAAGGAGCCGTTTAAGGAATATGTACTCTCTATACAGCATCTTATGCAGCACACCAATATGACCGAAGAACAAAAATTGGAACGAATTTTTGGAAACGCGCATTCGGATTATCAATGGTACATTCGCCGTAAAGACTTTATCACACTTTCGGAATTGATCTCCTTGGCAGACGAACTCGAAAGCATACCAAATAATTCTCGGTCAGAACAGCCTCGAAATCAACAAAACTATAATCGACGTGCGGACAACTCTAGAAATAACCTGTATTGCACCAATCAAGGTGACCAAGTGCTAAACGAAAGCTCATCCAATCCAGAAACGCAGCAGGATGAACCCCCGGCAAAGAAGAGTAACCAGAATGTTACATCATTGCAATGTGAAGAATATCGCCTTACTGCAACTGTCTTAATAGAGGGGAAAGCTATTAAAGCAACTGTCGACACTGGTGCCACTAGCTGTTTTATAAAAAGAGAATTTGCGAAAAAAATCAAGAAAAGGTTTACTTATTCACGGCATGAGGCAAATGTTATCCTCGCAGACGGCACCACGGTGAACATCACAAGATCAACAGTGTTACCTGTTACATTTGGAAACCAAAGCTCAGATGTTACATTTCTCATCATGCCGCAATTCAAGGAAAACATCATATTGGGATTGGAATTTCTAAAACAGTTCCACACGACCATTCACTGCGCCGGTATAAGTGTCAAATTAAGTAAGCCAACCACCTCAACGGAGCATTGTACCGTGGCTATAGGAGAGGAAACCCCATCAAAAGAGGTAATAGATACAATGACAGCTACGAATAATGTATCCCCCAGACCTAAATTCTTAAACGATGAATTGAGTAAAACGCAATGTGAGATCGTTGAAAATTTTCTGGCACAGGAACTCCCTAAGTTCCAACAATTAAATGGCCTATCGTCAATAGCTGAACATAAGATTGTAATGACCGACGATCGACCCATTAAATTAAGATATGCTCCGCGAAATCCTGCAATGCAAGCCGTGATTAATGCCGAAGTGAGAAAGCTCGAAGAACGAGGATGTATAGAGCCGTCTACAAGCCCATACTGTTTCCCCATCACATTAGTCAGAAAGAAAAATGGGAATTGGAGAACTTGTATGGATTTTCGCCAATTGAATAAACGTTCTGTTCCAGATGCCTACCCTTTACCCCGCATCGACACAATACTGAATCGACTACGGGATGCCAAATACGTGAGTAGCCTGGACCTTAAAGACGGATATTGGCAAATACCTATGGCGAAGGAGAGCAGAAAATACACGGCCTTTGCGGTAGCTGGTAAAGGTCTATATCAGTGGAAAGTGATGCCTTTCGGTTTGCATTCAGCACCGGCAACCTTCCAACGGGCATTAGATAGTGTGATTGGGCCTGAAATGGACCCCCACGCTTTTGCATACCTTGACGATATCATCGTCATTGGAAAAACGTTTGAGGAACACTTGCGGAACTTGAGAGAAGTGTTCAGAAGATTGCGATCAGCTAACCTGAGAATAAACATTGAGAAATGCGAATTTTTCAGAAAAGAAACGAAGTATTTAGGCCATGTTGTGAGTAGCGAGGGAATAAAGACGGATCCAGATAAAGTTGCCGCAATAGTGGAAATGAAACCTCCAACATCGGTAAAGGAGGTACGAAGATTTCTTGGAGTAGCATCTTGGTACCGAAGATTTGTCCCACAGTTTGCAACAATTTCACAACCATTGACTAGTCTTCTTAAAAAGGGAAAACATTGGAAATGGGGTCCCGAACAACAAGAAGCATTCTCAGACCTAAAAGCAAAGTTAACTGAAGCCCCCGTTCTGGCTTGTCCGGATTTCACAAAGACGTTCATATTGCAAACTGATGCCAGCAACTATGGCCTTGGAGCAGTTCTAACACAGGAGTTAGATAACGTGGAACGTGTCATAGCCTACGCCAGCAGACATTTAAAACAGGCTGAAAAGAACTACTCAGCGACTGAAAGGGAATGTCTAGCCATACTGTGGGGCATCAGACACATGAGACCCTATTTAGAGGGTTACCAGTTTATAGTTATTACCGATCATTTGGCCCTAAAATGGTTAAATTCTATTGAAAGCCCTACAGGTCGACTCGCACGTTGGGCTCTCGAGCTACAGCAATATAATTTTTTGATCAGATACCGTAGAGGAAAACAGAACGTTGTGGCAGATGCGCTTTCGAGAACACCTTTGGAAACGTTAGACCTAGCCACAGTAAAAGATGACACCAGTCCGTGCCCATGGCTAGAAAAGTTGAAGGAAACCATAACCAAGAATCCGAAGAAGTATCCAGACTATACAATCATTGAGGGAAATGTTTATCGACATTTTCCCAAGCAAATAAACGATGAAGATTGCACACCATGGAAGCTGTGTGTGCCCACCGGATCAAGGATTCAGGTCCTTAGAGAAAATCATGACAGTGTCACCGGAGGTCATTTGGGAGTGCGAAAGACTAGCAACAAGGTGGCGAACCGATATTTTTGGCCTGGTATGTTCCAGGACATCAAACGTTATGTCCAGCAGTGCGAATGTTGCCAAAAATATAAAGTCAGCCAACAGAAACCAGCAGGGGAAATGTTGATAAGAATCCCGGAGGAGCCATGGGCCACTATTTGTGCGGACTTCGTAGGACCCCTACCGCGATCTAAGCACGGTAACTCAATGCTACTCGTTATTATGGATAGATTCTCAAAATGGACGGAGTTGGTTCCATTGCGGAAGGCTACGACAGAGGGATTAATAAAGGCATGCAGAGAAAGAATTATTTCTAGATATGGGGTTCCAAAAATATTGATAACCGATAACGGAACCCAATTCACTAGCAACCAATTCGAAAAATTCCTAGCAGAAATGGGTATAAAGCATCAACTTACGGCTCCTTACACCCCGCAAGAGAACCCTACTGAAAGGACAAATCGGACAGTGAAAACAATGATAGCACAAGTTTCGAAACAACATAATACATGGGACGATATGCTGCCCGAAATAATGTTAGCCATAAACACTAGTGCATCAGAATCCACTGGATATTCGCCGGCATACCTGACACAAGGAAGAGAACCGCGACTGCCCCAGGCATTATATGATCAGCTCACAACAAGAACTGGTGCTAGAATAGTCTTACCAGAAGACCGTGCCCAGGAGTTGAAAGAAATATTTAAGATAGTGCGTCGAAACTTGGCAAAAGCATCTCAAAACCAGCGGAGACAGTACAACCTTAGACGACGAGTTTGGAAACCAAAGATTGGGGAGCAAGTTCTAGTTCGTCTACATCCTCAGTCGAAGGCCGTCGAAAATTTCGCCGCCAAACTAGCGCCCAAATACGGAGGGCCGTTTGTCGTACAAAAATTCCAATCTCCAGTAATCGTTGTAGTCCGAGGAAAAGACAACATCACCCGCGTCGCGCACTTAAGTGAAATTAAGCCTTTTTATGAAGAACAAAATTAAATTGTAGACATAGAAGTAGAATGTTGATTGTAGTTCCACTTACGTTTATGTGATGCCATTTCATTATAATTTCTTATTTTATTTTTAGACATTAAATTGACAATACCCAAACTAATCAGTGTCCTAATATAAGCCCATACTTCAAAGACCATCGCAATTCTTAAAATTTCAACAGCACGATGGAGCAAGATAGCCCCAACACGAAAAAATTCAAACGGGCGAAGGAGAAATTTCGAGCTCATCTGGAACAAGTCGAGGCTCAAAGGCGAAGGACAATATTTTTAGACGAAGGTCCTAGTACCAGCCGAAAGAGGAGAACAAATCAATACCGTAAGCCCAATCCAAGAGAGGGTAGCAGTCAATCCTCATCGCCCCAGCACCAAATATTTTACCGAATGTGCAGCACAACCCCGAATGACGTTCCACAGCAAAAGTGTAACACGACCGAAAACAACAGCGACGATATCGATGAAACTGACTCTTTGAACGAGGAAACCCAGCCTAGTAGTGACGTCCCGCGTACACCAACCTACGCCCGTGTTTTGGTTCGCCAAATAGCTTTAAGCCGGCTTCCGATGTGCTCTCAACACCCACTTCAAGGTGCTCAGAAATGCCTGTTACACCGGGTAAAGAATGGTGTCGTGACTCAGATGACGCATCAACTCTTCCTCGGCCCAATATGGAGGAGTCGGGTGAATCTCAATCAAATTTCGAAATGGATGAAGAATGTCGGCGTATGTTTTACGGTTACTTAGAAACCTCAGTGACTCGGCGAGCACAGTCACCCTTATCCTCGAATAATTCCTCGCTGGATGAGTCGGATAACGAAGATCAACGTTCCTCGTCTCCGCCAAAAAGGTATGGTCTGGGATTTGTCCGTCAGAAAGATAGCCAATACAAATATCTCGGATTTCGCTGTTATGAGAGAACAGTTACTGTGCAGCTTTTGGTCCCCGACTCCGGGGAAAATCCAATATATGAAATAACCAACCCACCGCCGGATAATCATCGTACGCCCTCACCCACACCCGCGATAGGGGAAGAGATCAACACCGAAGATATCCATTCAATATCCAACACCTCACACAAACATGAGGAGGTTCCTACTTCATCCTCACATGCTTTCGCACATTTAGAAGAAGACTCCAGATCGACCGCAAGTAGTTTTGTGACAGTTTCCGAAGATCCTAGTTCTGAGTGGTGGACCCAATGGCAGACGCTGGTTGGTGTTCCTCCATCATCACCGCTATATAACATAACCGAACAAGCAAATCTGTTGCATAGTGATGACGTACAAATTCCATCGCAATCCAATGCTGCCGTCATATCGGACGATCACAGGTCCCCCAACGTGAAGGAAGATAAATCATTACCAGGAACGCCGGGACACGTTGTCGAACTGTCATCACCATCGATGTCTTCCCGATCGTCATCCTCATCCTCATCAGCCTCGTCGTCTTTATCGTCATCCTCATCCTCATCAGCCTCGTCGTCTTCATCATCATCCACAAGCCAAACGATGACACCTCATCAGCCAACATTGTGTAGCAGTCAACCTTCCATCGATGAAGTGTTTATACCCAGTAAGGAGAATAATAGCACACCAAGTACGATCAAATTGCCAGTCACTGAAATCCCAACTGAGTCAACGCCATCGTCCTCGACAGACAATCCCGTGAACGATAACACATTTCTCGAACTGCCAAATTATCCCGAAAACCTACAAATCCGTATCGAGAAGTTTAAAAACAATTGGAAAAAGGGACACAAACTGAAGCGAATTGTTAAACAAGATGGCAAGCAGTACCGCATAATAATATCAGCAGACGGGGTAGTGAAGGTATCTCTCCGAACTTCTGCAATTGGTCTCTAACATACCTTCCTATTCGACCGAGATATAGTCGAACCAAAGTGCCCATGTCGGAGAAATAAAAGGTTACATAACACCCTAGGGCTTCCTGGCTATTGAAACCCAATAGCAATAGAGAAAGCAAATCAAGGAATCAAAAATCAGAGGGAGGAAGAGATGCCATGTAACGCCCAAAAGTCATGCTTTCGTTTTTGGGGTACATTATTATTTTAAATACCATTTTTACTTACGTATGTTATATACATCAACTATGAATTATATTTTTTGTTTGAAAATGAATTAAAATATTTAAGTTATGAATTAAACTAACAGCTACTCAGGGTCATGTAATTTAAATGTATTTGAATATTAACGGTCACACAGGTCCCCTAGTAGAAAGAAGTATACTTAAAATACAACATTGGAACCCCTGGTGGCAAATGGCGGAACTACGCAAAACTGTCAGATTGGGATCAGCTGCTGTCATGAGAAAACAACAATCGTTGTCCAGCCAAAAAGGTATAAAAGGAGACGCATTTCACACAATCGAGATCAGTCTTCTGTTGATGGCTGGTAAGTCAAGTGTGATTGGGAGGAAGAAAAGGCGCGCAACCTCGGTTGAATTGAGTCTTAGTAAGCCAAACAATAAGCCTTGACTATTTGTGGTGACTGGACTGGACTGAACGCAGGGTCAAGTGAGGGTTGTAGCAATACTCCCTATTCTTCGGGCTGCGTTGACGGCGACTGAACGCAGGGTCAAGTGAGGGTTGTAGCAATACTCCCTATTCTTCGGGCTGCGTTGACGGCGACTGAACGCAGGGTCAAGTGAGGGTTGTAGCAATACTCCCTATTCTTCGGGCTGCGTTGACGGCGACTGAACGCAGGGTCAAGTGAGGGTTGTAGCAATACTCCCTATTCTTCGGGCTGCGTTGACGGCGACTGAACGCAGGGTCAAGTGAGGGTTGTAGCAATACTCCCTATTCTTCGGGCTGCGTTGACGGCGACTGAACGCAGGGTCGAGTGAGGGCTGTAGCAATACTCCCTATTCTTCGGGCTGCGTTGACGGCGACTGACGTACTCATCGGGCTGCCGCTGTGCCAAGCTGCCGCCACTACTATTCGTCGCTCGCCTATTCATCGGGCCGCCGCTGTGCCAAGCTGCCGCCACTACTACTCGCCGCTGACGTATTCATCGGGCCGCCGCTGTGCCAAAGCCGCCGCCACCCTATTCGCCGCTCGCCTATTCATCGGGCCGCCGCTGTGCCAAAGCCGCCGCCACCCTATTCGTCGCTCGCCTATTCATCGGGCCGCCGCTGTGCCAAGCTGCCGCCACTACTATTCGTCGCTCGCCTATTCATCGGGCCGCCGCTGTGCCAAGCTGCCGCCACTACTACTCGCCGCTGACGTATTCATCGGGCCGCCGCTGTGCCAAAGCCGCCGCCACCCTATTCGCCGCTGTGCCAAGCTGCCGCCACTACTATTCGTCGCTCGCCTATTCATCGGGCCGCCGCTGTGCCAAGCTGCCGCCACTCTATTCGTCGCTCGCCTATTCATCGGGCCGCCGCTGTGCCAAGCTGCCACCACTGCTACCCGTTTATTAACATTTCGACTGAACTTTGTGATTTAGTGTTCTTCGTAAAACGTTCTGAACGTGATTTTATTGTGTTTAGTGTAGTGTTTAGTGTTATTTAAGGAAATAAATTTATAACGTTTTAAGAAAATATTTTTGCTTCGCTCTCTCTCTCTTTATGTCCTAACAAATAAATTTTTGTGACGACTCTGGCCCCCGCTGAACCTACCCCAGCTTCAAAGTGAAAACACGTCGTCACAAACAGAAAGAAAATAGACTCAAAAGAGCTAAAGAGTTGCTTCGCTTGGCTGAAAGAGGTGAACTGCCGAATTTGGTTTTCTCCGATGAGGAGACATTAGTTGTCCAGCAGTTTGTTAACAAACAAAATAATCGTGTTTACTTGCCAAAGAGGTCAGCTGAAAACGTGCACCTTCGGTTGGTCACCAGAACTCAAGCGCCGGCCATGGGGATGGTGTGGACCGCCATAACAGCCTATGGTCGCTCTACGTTTGTATATATCGACGGTGGCATCAGAATAAATGCCGAATCTTTTTCTGGAGGGTGTATTAAAGTCTTGAACACGCAAAGATTTTGGACGCAGACCTTGGACATTCCAACAGGACACAGCATCATCGCACTCAGCACGTGCCACACAAGAATTGTTACGTGGCGGCGGCGTGTGAGGGTTTCAATGGCCGATTGAAGGCCATAATTCGTGCCAAAGGTGACCAATTCGAACAAATCTAAACTTATTCTAAAATTTAGTGATATTTCCGACGTTTTTTGCTTTCATTCAATAAAATTAAATTAAAATATGTAAAAATCAACCCGTATATGGATGGAATACCATTTTCAAGAAGGAATAAAAGGTCCATTTAAGTTGTTAAATGGAGAGAATAATTACTTACCCTTCATCTGTAACCCCACGAATTAAGAATTTTAGACCCCGAACGAAATGAAGTAGATAGATTATATTTTGTCGAGATGCATTTGAGGCCCATAGAATTTTTGGTAGTCCCCATACAACCCTACACCCAGACATTCGATATTTTGATGATTTGCGTCAGATTGTTCACTGAAATTGTATCAAAACAAGTTAAAAAGTATCAGTCGGTATTGCCGACAGATATATACCCTATGCCTATATTCGATTAAATAATCGAAATATATTTAACTAGTGCCGGCTCCGAAGGAATGGGCCAATATTGCCCTTTTCGCATCAGACCCAAAAATATGATATAAATATTCCAACGTTCCTGGTATGGATTATATCGACTCACTCCTTCACTTTATATGAGATATGTAATAATTTTTAGAAAATGTTAAAATGTGCGTGATGTACCATACATAGTCTACCGAGATATTCCATTTTTATACTTCATCTGATACAAATAAAAAATATTGAGCGAGATATTGGGCAAAATTACCAGAAAGGATATTTATGTCCAATTTTATGCCAAATCATAAATTCCGATAAATTTCATATTCCTATCAGGCTTCTTATTAAGAGAAACATTTGAGCATAGCAAGTAGTAAAGTTTCGACAAATAAAATTATGTTAACACCAGATCTTGGGTTTATAAAAATATTGGAATGTGTAAAATTTGAAGACGTTTGGATCCTTATATCACATTTTATAAGAGTTATAATTATTCAAAATGTTGACCCTTTGTGGGGGAGGTACTTGATGGAGTGGACCGGTACTGTCCATTTTAGCACCTGACCTAGCACTGACGCAAATATTAGGATTTGCAGAGTTAGAGAAAAATTGGGTAATCGTTTCTCTTTCTGTGCAAAAAATATATTTTATATAAATTTTTGGAAAATTTCGACCTTTTGTGTGGGGGTACCAAAAGGAGTGGACCGATGTATTCCCTCTTAACACCAGACCTAGGGTTAATAAAAATATTGGGATATGTGAAACTTGAAGGCAATCGGACTCTTGCATCACATTTTACAAGAGTTGTATTTACTCAAAATGTTGACCCTTTGTGGGGGAGGTACTTGATGGAGTGGACCGATATTGTCCATTTTCGCAAAGGATTCGCAAAGTTTGAGCAAAATTGGATTATCCTCCAAATCTTCTGAAACGGATTTGGTCCAAAGAAACCTAGGGTCTAAAACCGTTATTTCGACTAGGCACGTTTTGGCCGTATCAAATGATATATACCCTCTGTAGCCATATGGCTGAGGGTATAATTTGGTATTTGGAGTTCGTAATGGATACCACCTCCAATTATCGTAAATTTTCTTATACGGGTCCACGTCTTCGTAGAATTCCCATATGGTCCCTCTCAAAATCGGTATATGTTGATTTTATCCAAAAATTTCACCGGAATTATTTAAAATTTATAATTCAGAGATCGCAATGAATATTTTTTACTATGAAAGACAATTGCCGGTATGGACACCATATAAAGCAATATTCCTATATTCAGAATTTTCATGATTTTCGGAATATATTTCAATTGCTTTCATATTTTTCAAGTTCCGTCCCAATGGTGGAACGTACTAAAATTTCTGCACAGCCGAACTTGGCTGCCTTTATATTTGTTTTCACTATTTTTTTTCTTTAACAGATCATCAGTTTACGGCTCGGAATACTACTTACAGACATTTTTCCGATCTCCTAACCATGCATATCTTCATAAATTTTCTTATTTATTCCTTCTATCGCCGAAATGGAAAAGCTATACAATGGAAAATTTTCATGAATAAAACCATACCCAATCCTGACAAAACCAATTACCCATTATTTCCGTTAAAAGATTAACAAATTTGCCAAACGATGGTAGCTAAAATGGTATGGACCACCCCCCAAACGATTAGTTACTTCCTAGATATGCGGTAGCTAATTTCGGAATATGCGCTTCCTAAGCCTGATTAACCAAATCATATTTTTGTTATTTGAAGTGAAATAAAAACAATTTCTCTGGGGTAAATAATGGAAAAATTAGCAACCACTCCTGTTAAACCCTCTCTCTCTCTTTTCCCTGCTGCCGTTAGTAAATTATGGAAAATACCCTTTTAGCTATTTACCCTTGCCAACCAAGAAAAGAAAAAAAAAATTGTCATAATTTGTTAGTAAAACAAACTCGATTCTGTTGTCATTGTTACCGCCGACATGTCGTTCGCTTGGCCATACGCTTCGTGAGCGTGTTTGGACAATTTTAGTGATTTTCTAATTAGTGGTAATTAAAGGAATTTCCTTGGCACATTTAGCTGCTACGGCTACTCATTCGCTCTTTCTCTCTCCCTGTTCCTTGGTTCTCTATTCCAAAATGATAGGCTAATTGTAAAATTGCTACTATACGATTGGCGATTAGAATTTCCCTTGGCCATGATTTAAACCGCGTTTTTATGAACCGAAATATCTCCTGGGTTAGCTGGCCAGCCAATGGTACCAAACATTGTGGCCATCGGTCTTTGGTAGACCAAAGGAAACAAATAAACATCCCACATCAAGGTACATACATATGACCACATATGTATGTGTGTGTGTGCGTTCCGCGGAAAATAAGAAAATTTCTGTTTACTGAATTAAAAAATTTCCCGCAATTTTCCCATATGCTGCGCTGCATTCTTGGCGAAGTTTGCATTTATTGCATGCCCACTGGCCACACATTGGTGGATTTAGTCTTAGGTCTTCTAGGTTTTGTTTAGAAACCCCTTATCGATCGGCCATTCTCTCTCCGGCTACTCTTTCCAGGTAATTACACTCAATGTTGTTTCTCAGTCGCATTCATTCCCCCTTGTTGGATTCCAATGCCATTGGCAGTGATTCGAGATGACTCATGCCAAAGGAATTTTTGAAGTACAAATCACAATCAAAATGGGAGGGAATCGCTCGTTTGCTCCTTATCTTCTCTCTTCTTTTAAATATTTGTTGCTTGGCCATAAAAAAGTAGGTTTGTGTTAATTTGTCTGTCTGTCTGTGTTGGAATTTTTGTTGTAGTACTTGTTGTCTAGTGTGGCGCTTCGTCGACTTCTTCTTCTTCTTTTCTCTTTAAATCTGCCCCGTAGCTATTTAGTCAACCATTATTTGTTAAAATATCCTTGCGTAGTGCAAATAGTCGTTAAATGTTTTTTATTTTCCAGTTTTTTTTTTCTTGTTTACATTTTCTTATCTTCTGTTCTTCCTGGTCTTCGTAATTATGTGCTAAAAGCATCCTTGCGGCTC